AGCCAACAGCTGTGCGTTTATGTCTCCTTGTCTCTGTTTAAACCTGCAGGAGAGGCACTGCACCTGATCCACCTGCCTGCCACCAGCACCGTGGCAGAGAATGCGCCGCCTGCGACTTTGGTGCATGAGTTTTCTGTGAATTTATCAGTATCGTTGTCGCCTGTGATGCCAGGATTTCCCATGGTCGCCAACCCAAGACCCTTCACAGAAGCCTTCAGGGTGAACAGACTATCGGGGACCGACTTTGAGGTGACAGCCTCTGGCTCTCGCTCCCCGTCTGCAGAACATTCCAGAAACCCTTTCCTCCACCACTGCTCTCGGTTCCCTTCTGCCAAGGGACCCCAGACCAGCTGTGCTAGATGCCCCAACAGGCTTTGGCCTTTCCTTCCCTTCTTCAGCGGTCCCAAAGTAACACGTTCTGACCTCATGTTTCAGTGGGTGGTAGTGTGCACGGGCTGACTCTTTTCTTTGGAAGGGAGGAGGTGAATCTTGACATTTTGGGTTCTGGTGACCTTGAACCTAGGGAGTTTACTCTGCTGTGACGCTGTGACTTTTTAGGGGACATTCTGAAAGAACAAGTATTTCTAATATGAAAGACACGCACCCACGCGTAAGCAGAAGCCCTGGTGTGGTGTCTAGACCCGCAATGTGCGTGTTTCCTCACAGACTCGAGTGTCATGCCACGGTTGCTCTGTTGTCTAGTTTGCCATTTGAGTCTTTCCCAAAGTTTTCACTTCCCCCTAGGGAGAGCCAACATGAAGACATCTTTAGGATCCAGGTGTGGACTCGCTGGCCTTCAGCATTCTCCTCCTCAGCCTCCTGAACGTAGAGTCAGCTCTGTTGTGGGTCCTTGTGGGACACACTGAAGTCAGGCCTGCCTGATCTAGACTCGGTTGTTTCCATGAGGTGTATACCAGTATTCTTATATGTAGCTCATCCTCTGCATCACTAGGGGAGCTTCAGAGAAGCAGGAAGATCAGGGCCCACAGCTGCCCTGTAGAACCCAGGCCCTGTGGCCAGAGCCCAGCGTCTCTCTACTCAGGGGTGGGTTCAGCCAATCTCACACCATCATCCCACCAAAGTTCCCAGTACCAGATGCTGACTCCGAGACTCAGCTGCCCTGCCTATGTATTCTTGACGCCTGGCCTGCTCTTGGCGGCCAGTCTGCTCCCCTAAGCCCTGCCAATGCTTACCCTCGCAGACTGCATCCCGCACTCTGGGTGCCGCTGAAGATGACTCACACACCCCTGCTCTTGAAGTCATCAAGGCTCCGTGGCTGTAGTTTTAACACTGCCTCCGTCCACAGATGAGAACAATGAAGCACAGAGAGGCTGAGTGCTTGGTCCTAGCTTGCACAGCTAACATATACCTCAGTTGTGACTGGAAACCAGGTTGTCTAGCGCTGGAGCTCTCGTTGAATAAAACAAAAGACACAGATTCGTTGAGCTATTAATTCACGATTAGAACGCAGTACTGCCAAGCAGAGAGTCTCCTCAACCTTAAAGGGCTAGTCATGACCTCCCAGGTGACCTCCCTGGCTCTAAGGCAGCTCTGAGCCACCCAGGCAGGGGAGGAGCTCTCCAAGGCCTGTGCCTGCCTCTGTAGCCTCCCATGCCTCAGTCTGACTCTGCTCTTGTCCTGTTAACTGTTGGGAGTGCTATGGACCCCAAACTCTGCTCAGCTTTGTTCAGGAGGAAGCAGAAGCCCACATACACAGAGTCAAACTTACTGTTTCACTCCAGAATTCTGCAGCCAAACTGAAGCTCCCCACTCCCACCCGGTGCCTCGGGAGAGCCCCTTCTCTTCCCTGACTCGGCCCTTTAATACATGAAGTGGAGTGATGTTCACCAACCTACAGCTGCCACGACAAGGAAAATACCAGAAACAGCTCGGCCAGAGGTAGATCTGTAAATATTTGTAAATGCTGGTGAGACCAGACAGTTTTTCCGTTTGTGTTAGTAGCAGCACGGTCCCTTGGTTCTGAGATATAAACTTTGGATGCTTGTGAGAAGGGTACTTGCTTCCTACGGAGTGTCCCAGCTAGTTCCCAAGGAGAGGGAAGCAGCAAAAGGAAGGCGAAGACCCATCTAACAGGATGCAGAGGAGGTGCCAGGCTGAGCAGGAAGCTGGTGGATAAAGAAGGAGGACTGGACTGTCTACTGGCCAGCTGAATGTGTGTTCCCCACCAGTTTCTGCTACCCAGGGGCGAAGTCAACCTTCACAAGGTTCTTACTGCTGGGTGGTGTTGATCACAACTCCCAAATCAGCTCACTCAAGCTTCTCAGTGGCCTTGTGAAGCAGGTGTTATTGTTATCTTCAAGTCACAAATGGGGAAACTGAGGCATGGAAAACCACATAATGGGAAACTGAGCTTTGAAGTTGGTCAATTGGGCTCACAGTCCCTGCTTATGATGTGGTATTCTGCCTCATCATCCAGACAGAACAGACGGCCCCGCTCTGGATAACTATACACAGATGGGCTCTCTGAAGATGCCAGACGACCTCTTCCCTTTCTACCCTCTCCTGTCCCGTCTTCCACATTCACACCTGTGGCTACCATCTCTTCTTGTAACCGGTCTAGATCTCGCAAGGTCAAACCTGATACATGCCACCTCCTCCATGCAGCGCTCTTTAAATAGAGATAGCTTTCAATAACGTCCTCTCCCTCCTGGCCCTCACCTCTGCTACAAAGTGTCAGCTACTAGCCTAGCAAGGGATGGCTCCCTGAGTTACAATCACGTGGGGACAAAAGCAGAAGGGAAAGCAACTCCCCTGAGGTACACAGAAGTTCAGCAGAGTCAAGGACCAGAGCCAAGTACTTTCATCACGGGATGCGATTGTCCCGGTATCAGCTGCTAAAGCTCTAGAAGAAAGACCGTCCTTCGGCTAGGGTCAGAGTGCCCTGGTAGAGTAGTAGCCTAGTATGTGAGGTTCTGGGTTCAATCCCCGTTAATGTAAATGAAAGGAGAGAGATGGAGACAGAGAGGAGAGGGGCAGGGAAGATGGAGGAGGAGAGAACAGGAAATAGAGATTAATCTTGGAAGTCATCTCGCTCTGACGTGCCATAGACTGGGTAACTTAAAAAGATTTTTTTCCTGTTCTGGAGACTGGAAGTCCGAAGTCAGGATGCTGGTATCTGACCAGGGCCCTCTAGCTGCAGAAGAGCATGGCCAACACACCATGGTGAGGGGACAAGGGAGAGCGTGGGGTGGTTAAACAAGAAAAGCAGCTTGGCTCTGTAACCCACTCTCGCGATAAAACATTGAGAAGGTTCACCACTCACCGCCTCTAACCGGTTAGCTCACACCAGCGTGAGGCAAACACTAGTCATTCTGTTTCAACAGGAGTATTTTAGGGGACAATTAAACCACAGCGATGCCCCTGGACTTGTAGAAGTTGTGTCCACAGTGGCTAAGGGGCCTGTCTAGGGGTCTAGTGCTAACTGTGGTAGGTTTTAAAATTTAGAGGTTTTCCATCTCCTGTTCACCGCACCAGAATGTTTCCAGAAGAGTTTTGTTTCCTAAGAAATACAACATCACCCACAGGAGCGCCTTCTGGGAAGGGCCATGGGCGGGGCTTATGTCGGAAGGACTAAGGCTGTCCTGTCAGAGGAGAGGCCCCCTCTGAAGGTGACTGCAGTTGGTCACCAGGAGCAGGTGGCTCCCTTCCTCGTCAGAGCCCCTTGCATACAAACATTGGCTTTTTGTTGTCACGCTGAGAGGCTCATGTTTTGTTTTAGGTTGTCACCACTGGGAAGGAACAACTAGATTTCGAAACAGGGCCCAAAGTATTCGATCTGCAGATTTATGTGAAGGATGATGTTGGTGTCACAGACTTGCAGGTCCTGACTGTCCAGGTGACAGATGTGAACGAGCCGCCTCAGTTTCAAGGCAACTTGGCGCAAGGTGAGACATACCCAGACAGTGGCATCCGAGAGGACCCTGCTGGACAGAGTCCAGCAGAAAAATGTCAATGAGCAAGCAGCAGTTTCCTCAGCACACCCAGTCACAACATCCAGCAGTTTTTAGAGCCTTGTATCTGTGCTTCTCTCTCTCCCTCCGAGTCCTGGGAAGAATGCCTAATGCAGGCACCTCAAAATGAAACCTTTTAGATGATCCTGGGCTCAGCCCGCCACAGGTCTGCCACCTTTCTGCAGCCATTGCCCAGCTGTCTCTCTGGGCACAATACACTGCAGTGGGGATGCCCTAAGGATGGAAATTTGGGGACATAGCTCGGCAGTAGAATGCTTACATCACACGCAGCATGCCGTGAGGTCAATCCCCAACATCACAGAAAAGGAGACAAGGGGTGACGGTGTGGCTCAGGGAGAGCCCCTCACTATGCAGGACCGGCAGCCTGTTTCCATACGCAGCACAGACATGGAAGAGGAAGGAGAGCTGATCCGCAGAATTGTTCTTGATCTTCACACACGCAGTGGCGTGTCCACACACATCACACACACAGACACCGATCCTAAACCTAATAACAATGAAAATAAAGAAGATGGACTAGGGAATTTCCCATCAGATCACCCCAAGGTGCTGGCTGTGTGCAATGAGCTCTGGGTACAATGAGAACCCCGAGTCCATTGTTCCTCTTGGGCTCTCCCTGAACTCACAACTCAGATATCATCGGTTTCACCCAATGTCTCTCGGCATCTAAAAGGCTTCTTAAGTCAACAAGCCTCTCAAACCAATCTCTTAACTAGCCAGCCCCACCCTTCTCTGTGTCCTCACCCCTATCCCACCCTTCTGAGTCCTCACCCCTACCCCACCCTTCTGTGTCCTCACCCCTACCCTACCCTTCTGTGTCCTCACCCCTACCCCACCCTTCTCTGTGTCCTCACCCCTACCCCACCCTTCTCTGTGTCCTCACCCCTACCCCACCCTTCTCTGTGTCCTCACCCCTACCCCACCCTTCTGTGTCCTCACCCCTACCCCACCCTTCTCTGTGTCCTCACCTCTACCCCACCCTTCTGTGTCCTCACCCCTGCCCCACCCTTGTCCTCACCCCCACTGCCTTCCGCTGGTGTCCATGTGTGTTTCACAGGTTCACTCTAACATAAAAACATGGATCTGAATGTAACTATCAATCACACTGCAGGCACTAGAGTGACTCCTAACTTCCCTCTCATCCTGGTCCTCTTTCCCGCTAACAACAATTCCAGTCACCTCCCAGTGGAGGAGGTGATTGAAGGTGAGACACCTAGCATTGTAGTGATCTCCAACAGCTTGACTCAGGTCGTCTCTCCCGGGTCTTATCTTGGCCTTGTGGGTTCCCTATAGCTGCAGCATCTAGATGGCCTGGGGTCGGAATTCCCTATCTGATGAGACACTCTTGTTCCCTCTGACTCGGAACAGGTTTAAACCTCTATGTAATAGAAAGAACAAATCCTGGATTCATCTATCAGGTGGAGGCCTTTGACCCAGAGGACACAAGCCAGAACATACCTCTCAGCGTAAGTACCCTATGCTGCTGCTGTGCACACCAGCTTTGGGGCAGAAGCCTGACGGCCCAGCCTGTCATGTGGGTAGTGGGGTCAGCACTGGGATGTACTGCCACTTCCAAGGTCCAGCCAGGGCTCCGTGTGTGTGGCTCTTTGTGATCTGGATCAAACTCTCAACCTTATTGAGCTCCTGTGCTTTCCGAGTGACAGCAGAAGCAGGAGAGTGGCTGGCATAGGCAGGGCTAGCTCACGCGAGAGGCTGCAGGGGAAGCCACCGCCGAGCTCACAACAAAGGCCTTTTCCTTTCTAAGGGAAAATCAAGTCTCAGGGATTTTCAGTGCAGACAGGGACTGGGGAGACGGTTGCCTCCCCATCCAGTCTGAGAAGCTGAGAGCTCCTTGCTCCCACTTAAAATCATTGCCTCTTGGAACTGGGGCTTGTGGTACCAGCAGCCCTGGGTAAAGCCTCTCAGCCGTCCTGCCATGATGCTCCAAAGCCAGTACAGGAAGAAGAGGAAGTAAGATGGGCTTTATGGTAGGAGACAAGCCAGTCTCGTATGTTTTCTGGGGGTGGGGAAACATTGTAATACTTCTGTTAATTGTCATTGGCCATAACTGTGTCCTCTGACCGTCACTGATTGACAGGGAGCAGTAGAGAAGAGTTCCCACATGGGATTACATCACCACACCAAAATGTATCTTATACTTATTTAGTTTGTTTGAACTTCTATCAAGAGTGCTATCCAGGCACATTAGAACATTTGGAATTCATTGAGCTGAAAAATGTGACAGCCTGGAAGTGAGCCATTCCTGAGAACGGGAAGAAAATAATACAGTCTTCTCCTGACAATGGTCACAGCTGATGCTCTTGTGACAAAAGACTGGGAGAGAAAAAGCACAGCGGCCATGGTGGCGCACACACCTTTAATCCAGCACTCAGGGACAGAGAGAGGTGCATCTCTAGGAGTTCGAGGCCAGCCTGGTCTACAGAGTGAGTTCCAGGACAGTTAGAGCTACACAGAGAAACCCTGACTCAAACAAACAAACAAGCAAACAAAAAAGAGGAAAACACAGCATGTCATTTAGCCAAACTTTTACAGGACACGAAAACCTTCAGAAAAGAAGTTTCAGAGCCCTGTGGGAATTGAAGTCCTGTATATGCATGAGTGGGCATGTATGCATGCAGCGTGTGTGCATGCTGCGTGTACGAATGTTGCATTGTGCATGCTGCATGTGTGCACACTGCATGTGTGAATGTTGTGTGTGTATGCATGCTGTGTGAGTGCATGTGGCATGTGCAAGTGCTGGAGGAGGCCAAAGGAAGACCCCGAGTGTACTGCTCTGTCCCTCTCAGCTCTGTTCATTTTTGTCAGGATTTCTCTCTGAACCTGGAGCTAAGCGGAGGCCAGCGAGCTCCCTTGATGCCTGACTCCCCAGTGTTGGCGTTACAGACATGTTCAATCTCACCTGTGTTTTTTTTAAACATGAGTGCCAGAATCTGAACTCAGGCCTTCATGTTTCTATACCAAGTGATCTTACCCACTGAGTCATCTCTCCAGCCACAGACTGTGTGTTTTTATGCTCAGGTTCCATTAAAAAACAAAAAAACAAAAAACAAAACCACCACCACCACCACCACCACCAACAACAACAGAAAACCCAAACAGATACTGTGTAAAACTATAATTGGACAAAAACATAAAAAACGGGTAGTTTAGGGAGGTCTGTCTAGTCAGTCAGGTTTCTCCAGGTCTCAGTATATAGAGCAAGAGGGCCCTGGGATGAGGGTCTTATGACACACTACCCTAGGAGAGAAAGTAGGGACAAGGTTAGAGGGTCTTTTGTTCCTCTATCTTTCTCAATTCCCGGATGCTGTGTCGGGGTACTGTGTTCTCAGCATGATGTGTGCACACAACAAATGATTATTGCTCAGTGTGATAATGACTGGGAGGTGTGTAAACATTGTACTGTGGTCTGTGTTAGTGACGTCCCCACTGCTGTGATAGAACAACATGATCAAGGAACTTAAGGGAGAATGAGTTTGTTTTGGCTTATGCTTCCAGAGGTATAATAACGGTTCATCGTGGCTGGGAGTCATGCGTGGCAGCCGGCTGTAGCCCTGGGACACACATCTTAAAGGGTCCATCGCAGCTGGGAGTCATGCGTGGCAGCCAGCTGTAGTCCCATGGCACACGCCCTTAAGGGTCCATCGCAGCTGGGAGTCATGCATGGTAGACAGCTGTAGCCCTGGGGCACACGTCTTAAACTGGAAAGCACATGCAGAGAGCATACTGGAAGCAGGGGATTCTCTTTGCTCTCAAAGTCCACCCCCAGTGATGTACACCACCTAACCCTCCCAAACATCGCCACTAATAGTTCAAATTCCTAAGACTATGGAGATATTTCTTATTCAAATCACAAGATCCAGTTGAAGAAATCTCAGTTTTGAAAACAATATATATATATATGTATATATATATCACATATACATATATATACAAAGATACATATCTCTCTATATATGACTATGTAAGAAACCCTGCCTCAAAAAACCAAATTATATATATTTATTTATTATATTATACACACACACATACACACAAACACACACACACACATATATATATATATTTTTAGGCAGGGATTCACTGCCAAGCCCTGGCTGTCCTGGAACTCAAACTTACAGAAATCTGACTGGCTCTATCTTCCAAATGCTGGGTTTAGAGGTGTGTGTTACCACACCTGGATATTTTTCTATTTTTGGTGTTTTCATGTCTCCAGACAGAGTCCGATAGCCCAGGCTGGCCTCAAACTTGAAATTCCACTGCCTCAAATCCCGTGTTGAGATTGGGATGGCAGGTATGATTTCTGTTTTATATCTCTGTTTTAATACACCTCCAAGTTACAGAGCTGCATACAGTTCCATCCCTTCAGAAGCCCATCTCAGGTACAGTTGTCACCTGGAAGGTGGACAGCCCAGGTGAACCAGATGAAATCGGTATGACAGAGTTGCCCCCTTTCAAATATGCAGCTATGTCTGTAGACAGGTGTTTTTTGTCCTGCCCAGTCCCGCAGTTGTTCAGTCCCGAAGAAACACACAGAGGCTTATAGTAATTATAAACAGTTTTTTCCTATTAGCTCAGGCTTATTATTAACTAGCTCTTACAACTTAAATTAGCCCATAATTCTTATCCATGTTTAGCCACATGGCTTGGTAGCTTTTCTTAGTGCAGCGTTTTCACCTTGCTTCCCCCGTAACTGGCTGGTGACTCTGTCTCTGCCTTTCTTCTTCCCTGAATTCTCTTAGTCTGGTTGTCCCACCTGTACTTCCTACCTGACTTCTGGTCAATCAGCATCTTATTAAACTACTATGAGTGACAAATATTTACAGTGTACAATATCCCACCGTATATGTCAAAGTGCTTTGGAGGGAGTTATAAGCCTAGGTCACGCACAGGCTGCAGGGCTGACTAGAGAGAGGTGCTTCTGGCTTGCCAAAGAAGGTGTTAACTTTAACGGTGTGTTTAACTTGTGTGGGGGACTGCACAGCTAACACTGTCCAGAAGTAACAAAGACTGGACAAAGGTAAGAACGGTTTGGGCAATACCATGCTTTCCATGGCCTTCACACTCAGATGTTTGATGCCGGGCACTGGGGGTACTGAGGGGCACGGTTTGTTATGCAAGCAGAGAGGGTATGGCTAACTTTCCATTGACTGAGTTTATGCTGCTCATCTTTGGTTTGAAATTGCAACCCCGGGCAATTTAAACACTCAGAGGTGTCCTAACTGCTCCAGTTCCCGAGAGTCTGGTTTAAATGTAGTGGGGAGTTTGCAGTGACGAGTTGTTCAATCAGAAAGGCCTGGACACTTGTTTCTGATTGTTTCTCATGCTTGGCACATGCCGGGAACAGATGAGGCTGCTGCATAAAGAAGACAGACTCCTCTACTCAGCAGACCCGGGCTGAATTAGCATGCGAGCTTCAGATTGTTGTGAAGTACTGTGCTCAGAACCACTGCGCAGAGGAAAACAGACTTGTGTAAGCGCTGAAACATGTTCTGAAAGCCTCCTGGGCTTCACTCATGCCCTTTCCCCTTTCCCCTTCCTAAAATGAAGGGTAGATTCTAGAGCAGCTAGAACCCCAGCTCTGGAAACCAGCAAACATTCCATCCAGTTCTTATCCGTTTTAAGGAAGTAAAGGGGACCCTGAACAATGGGGGCGCCCTCCCAGACCCCAGATTAGGCACAGGCCTCACCCAAACACCTGTTTCTACAGAGAGGTCCTTTATTAAGCGGAGAAGAAAAGTTCAAGTGGTTGCTTTCTGACTCAGGCAGAAAACAGCAGCTAATGACCGCGCAGGTATGATTTTTTAAGAGGACAAGAAGGGAGGTCTGTGTTAGAATGGACTAGGATGTGGTGGTATAGGAGATGGGGGACAGAGAGAAGGGAAAGGGGGAAAGGGGTGTTTGTCCTGGAGAGAGAGGAGACAGACATGGTGCATAGGCAAACGGCAGTTTATAAAGGTAAAGGGGGAACCCCGTGTCAGGGTGAGGTGCTTAATTTTATTGGGGCATGTTCATCAGGTAAACCAAATGGGGTTTTTGATGGCTGGGCTTTGGTAGTCAGCCTTTCAGGAGAATTAAGTGACCAAATAAGGGAACGAACCTTGGTGGCTAGCTTTAGAAACGTGATCTAATGGTTTTTAGCAAGGCAGAGGGGAGGGGTGGGGTCTGCCAGAGCCGCATGCTCTAGTGGGCCAGTGACCCTTCAGGAAGCGATAGCACGTCACAGACTGGGTATAAAGGGGATGCATCCCTAGTGGGCAAGAGACCCTTCAGAAAGCGATAGCACATCACAGACCGGGTATAAAGGGGACGCACCCAGAAGCTGCCAGCTTCGCTCCTTCACTGGATCCTTTTAAAAGAAGCTTGATCAGCGCCAAATGATGCTGTGTCAGCCACGCTTGTCCATTACAGCACAGCCCTGCGCAACCAGAGATCAAGGCTGCACATG